ACCCTAATGTAAGAAAGAGACCATAAGTTGCTGCCAACATCAAGGAAGTAAGATTGCCAAGGTTTGTCGTGTCATGTCATTTTGACATTTGCTATTGATAATTTGACGAATGTAAACAATAAAATAAAAACTTCATAATTTCAATCGGATGAAGCCGCACGGGAACAGCTAGTATAAATGTATATGTAGAGTATTGGCCTAATGGTTTGGAGTACGTACTACCGATCTTACCATATCCTAGCAGAAGCCCAGAGCTTAGTTGGAATTAAAGGAAATATTAGTAAATTAACAAAAAACTACTAGTTTATTTCTTATTTATTTCTTTTTAAAAAAACATTTTTATAGTAATCTATGAACATTAAAGTTAGAACATAAATTATCGTGCTTTTTAAAAAGATTTCTTTAAACCAAAGCAATACCAAACTTAAAAAGTCTTAACTTAGAAAACATAAAGTCATTTTCCAAAAAGAAAAGGATTCCTTCAGTTTATTTCATGTTTTAAGAATAATGTCTTTCTAATCGAAAATAAAATTTAAATAAAATTATATCTCGGTTAAACGTATGACAAAATTCAGTTCGCGTTTTATACGAATAAGCAATAACTTTTATAAAAAGGACCATAAAACTAGCGTGGATATATGTGCTCATTTTACGCACGTATTCTGTTAACTAATTCGAATAAAATTCATAGTCAGCTAACAAAAAGGATTAATTTACAATTCTATTAACATTGTTAATATCAAATTAATTTATTATTTGCCTTTTACAATTATAAACCTGCTTACGTTGTTATGTGTTATTTTAATACAATTTTTCTTCATTATAATACTTATTAAAATCAAAATAATTTTTTTTTCACCATTAGAAAGGTAATTTATCGGTAACATAGCCTATATTTTTTCTAATGGCGAAAGAATTTTTAAAATCGGACCAGTAGTTTTTACGTGAATCGAATGCATACAAAAACGCACAAAGCAAATCTTTCCTCTTTATAATACTCGTGTAGAAGATATCTTTTACACCGTGAAACCCACCTAAAGTCTAAGTTACTGTGAATATCATTTGTAAAGTTATAGCTAAGTTCTCATAACTTCAATCGTTTTATACGCTTCATGGAGTTTCAAGTTTATAAGTAAATTTTAAGGTTGCATTGCAATGCTCTTACATAAATACTTACGAGCTTACCATTAGCTGAAACATTACTCAGGCATTTTATACAATTCATTTGAAGCTTGTCGAGTGGCGGGAACACGTAATGAAACGACCAGGTTCAGATTTAGACTAACTCATTTATTTTTACTATCCTAAAGGAAACCAAGTAAATCAATTGAACAGGGCTTGGATAGTCGGCTATGATCTGCGATGACTTGAGGGACAACCTTCGTATCCAAATAAGGTGAAACAAGACGCTTCTCTCACTATCTTCCGCGACTAAGACAAATTCGTGGCTGGGCTGGGAAAGTAGGAAACCTGGGAGCGCGGCAATACACCCACCGAGGCAAACACGGCCAAACAATCTTTTAGCTTTTCGGGGCACTTTGATACCACTGTAACTTCATCGTGTATGAAGATAAAAGTTTAAAATTTTGAACATCAATAGATCCGTCTTTTCTGGCATTAATATTTGGACACGTCACAAGTAACAGTGGTAGTGCCCGCTTTAACATCTTAGCACGTATGGGCCGACACGCCCGGTGTAATACCACGACCACACAGAAGACAGGCGTGAAATGGAAGCAATTCCGTGTTTCGTCTGATGAGTGTGGTGCCGAAGGCCTAATTTAAATCCCTTTCTCTTTACCACCCATTTCCTGTAAGGAGAGGATGGGAAGGGGAAGTGGATTTAACGGCGGAGGACATGCCTAGGAAGGGGCAATGTCCTCTTCATGAGCGTCTCCTCTGTTGGATAAGGGTAGGCAACAGATTCAGATGGCCGCTTGCTCGTTCAAACCTTATGTTATAAAAAAAAAGCGATGAAGGCTATTTAGAGAGCTTGATGTGAGAGGGTTTTTCGAGAGGCTTGTCCTCACCAATGACAGAGCAGCTTCGTATCATATAAAAAATCACGTTCTGACAATTCAAATATTTTAATAACATTCATAATTTAATTAATAATGATTTTTTAATTTAATTCAAATTCTATTTTAATACAATGTAATTGGATCTCTTGAGAGAAAGTTTTGTTAAAATTAAACTGTAACTAAAACATTGACTTTGTGGGAGTATATTTGATTTTTTAGGTGATTCGATTCTAGTTTGTAACTTGTTTAAATGAAAAAAGAGAATCGATACTTCGGTTCGGGTAATCGATACCTTTGTTTGTTCGATTACTTGTTTTGAGAAAGGCATCCTAAACTATCAGACTTTCAATAAAGATTGTAAATTTGATAATGACTGCTTGGAATTGACAATTGATTGGCCTTTATATTATTAAATACTAGCTATCGCAACTCCTTCTGCGTGGAATTTAAAAAAAAAAGTATAAAGCCTTATTCAATACCTTACAACATTGTGTTACACGGAAGAGCGGGACTTCCTAACACAAGTGCCTATTGGTTACTTAAAAGGAAGTCCCTACAACTGATTGATTTGTAACTTAACTTGATCTAGTATAGTATAGTATTTATAGTGGTAGTGCCTGATTTAACATCTTAGCACTGCAGGGCCGGTACGCCCGGTGTAATACCACGACCACACAGAAGACAGGCGTGGAATGGAAGCAATTCCGTGTTTCGTCTGATGAGTGTGGTGCCGGAGGCCTAATTTAAGTCCCTTTCTCTTTACCACCCTCTTCTTTTAAGTAGAGGATGGGAAGGGGAAGTGGATTTGACGGAGGAGGAGATGCATAGGAAGGGCAAACATCCTCTTTATGTGCGTCTCCTCCGTCGGATAAGGGTAGGCAACGCATCTGCAATTGCGGATGTCTATGGGCAGCGGTAGCTTCGCCATTTTGGTGGATTCAGGTGGCCGCTTACTCGTTTGCATCTTTGTCATAAAAAAAAATGTAATAATATTTTTTTATGTTCTTCCAGACTATCCTATATCTATAAGAAACCGATTAAGATCAATTCTGCAGTTTAGGCTATAAATTCGAACAAACAACCATCCATGCATTCATCAACCATTCATCTAAATTTTCGCATTTAAAAGATTTTTTACGTGAAAGAAAAGTAATCATTTCTTTTTATCATTTCCTTGAAAGAATTCTAAAAAGTCTAATTGCCATTTTCCCTAGATAGCGCAACACTGTTTGTATTTAAAATTTCTGTTGAAAAATTTCCTCTCTCTATTTCAGGAGCTTTAAAAGGTAATTTTCTTCATTTCAACCCTACATCGCTACTTTTATGTTTCGTGGACACAATTTTAAATATTCAATAATGCTTTTCCATACGCAAAACATTATTTGTATAAAACGATATAATATTCATGAAATCATAATATTGTTTGTCCACAGAATATATTCAATTATGTTTCAGCATGAATAAAGTCAGTAATTCTATTATAAGCAAAGTGATTTCGACGGACAAATTTTAATATTTTCGTTGAAATATTTCCTTCATATTTTATGAGGTGACAAACAAGCTGCCATCATAATTCGCCAAAATAGCGAAGCTGCCGCTGTCCTATCAGATAGGATAGGGAAACCTTTATTTTAAATATCAAAGGATGCCAAACGAACGAGATGAATTCGCCGATAAAGCGAAGTGATCACTGCCCTTATACATCCGCAATTATCGATACTTTGCCTACCCTTAATCAACGGAGAAGGGGATGCTTAAAGGGGTTATTTCCCGTTCCTATGCGACTTCTACACCGTTAGTAATAGTGGGAAAGGAAAGGGACTAATATTAGGCTTCCGGACTAATATAACCTCTTTGTGTGCGTCTCCTCCTCCGACGATAAGGGTAGGCGACAAACCTGCAATAACGAATGTCTATGCGTAACGGTCGATTCGCCATTTTGGCGGTTTCATGTGGCCGCTTGCTCATTTGCCACCCTGATATAAAAACAGCTTTTCATCTTTCAGGCATCGATCTATTTCAGTGTTGACAAGGTTCACGTGATGCGGAATAATTAAAAATTATAGTTCTCCGCTTAGTACGTGTACATAACCCACTTTTTATGACTTAATTAAAGTTTAATCCATTCATATAAGATGCGTCTTTTTTATATCATAAGGTGGCAAACGAGAAAGCGGCCACCTGAATCTGTCCATAAACATCCACAATAGGGAATATGCATGTTTTTTTTTTCTTTTTTTAAACGATTCTACTTGTTATAACCAGAAAAAAATTGACGCGAAAATATTCAACCAATGAGCTAAAAATAATAAAATAAAATTACGACCATTTTCGAGCCACCAAAACGCGACCGGAGTTGTCATGAGACAATTGACGTCAATTGTCATATTCCATTCATAACATACGCTCAGAGGTCACTTCGACGTAAAAAACAACAAAGTATCTCATTGCTTCTCAAGGTCAAGAAGTCAAAAATCGATTAATTTTTATTATTCCTGGTACAAATAAATAGTAATTAATAATTCTATTCATTAATTTTTTATTTTAAAGTTGGCTTTGATATCGTGTTTACAGTAAAATACTTCAAGAGTGTGTTTCTATATAAACTAACGTAAATTAACTATGTATTGTCAACACAGCGACGACATAATACTTAAGCCACTTGCTTCGACAATAGTGTGTGTTTTAGAAGTTTTTAATGATTAAGTTTCGCCACTAAATCACATTACATTTAAAAAAATCTTTGCAGGAATGTTTTTATAGTAATAAAGTATACTTAAAAAAAGTTTGGAACAATTTGGCGTCATATGCATATTGCATATTGCATATTGCAGTTGCGCTGCCTACCCTTAATCAACGGAGACGCACATAAAGAGGATACTTCCTCTATCGCGTCTCCTCTACCGTCAAATCCACTTTTTAAAGGACTAAAATGATTAAAATGTATCTAGCAAGTAAAGCATGAATAAAAAGACAGTATATTTCAACAAAATGTATTTTAATCTCTTGATCTAGGTATAAACTTAACATATATAGGATGTACAGGTCTAAGCACGATGTCAGCCTTCAGTTTGGGTCTAGCTCCGCGCTCCGCCGCCACCAGCGTGAAGTTGCGGCAGATCTCACTCAGCGCGCACTTCATCTCTTGCATTGCGAACTTCTGACCTATTATTCAACCATTTTGTACTTAACCAACGGCGGATCCAGGCGGGGGGGGGGTAATGGGGGCCATGTCCCCCCTCCCCTGAGATGATCGGTCAAGAGCTTATCAAAATATATATACATGTTTTGTCAAGCCTGACTTGACCACGACTATGTGACCCCCCCCCCCGGAACCGCCCTTGTACTTAACTCTATATAAGCGACTTTAGCGACAAATGAGGGTTGCCAGATCCCCTATTGGTCTACTGCGTTTTAACATCAGTAGTTCTGGACCTAAGATAGTTGGATGGTCTACTGTTTAAAATCAGTAGTTATGTCTTCTAACACTTCTAAGGTCGGGATAAGCTACGTAACTGATGTCATGAAGAGTTTACCACTAACTGTCTCTTGCGACTGCGGCTTCTTTGGAAAATTCTTCTTACAAAACTATGACCATGGACTTAAGCTGTGCCAAATTTCAACGAGATCCATTAAACTATTCAGGATATAGAAAGGAACAAACATCTAAACTTTAGAATTAAGTAAGGATAATTTATTACACACTAGCTTTCGCCTGCGACTCCACCCGTGTGGAATTATAAAATCAAAAGTAAATAGGCTATATGTTCTTTCAGACTATCCTCTACATCTATACCAAATTTACTCAATATTCATTCAGCAGTTTAGACTACAAATTCTAACAAACATCCATCTAAACTTTCGTATTAACAACATTAGTAACATTAATATGACAAACCTATGCAATTCCTGGGTCCAGCGCTGAAGGGTACAAAGGCGTATGGATGTCGCACCTCCCCGTTCAGGAACCGTTCAGGCTGGAACGCCTCAGGGTCAGGGTATAAGTCTGCGCGGCGCTGCATGTCGTAGATGTGGACCAGCACCTCCACACCTTTCTTCACCAGAATATCGCCTGAACAACCACAAAACATCAATAAGACCAACTTTGGTCCCTTTTCCTTCCCATCCTATTACTTATAAGAGAAGGAACGGGAATCCCTTCCCACGTGGACTTGACGGCGGAGGAGACGCATAGGAAGAAGAAATATCCTCTTTATGTGCGTCTCCTCCGTCGATTAAGTATAGGCAACGCATCCGCTATTGCGAATGTCTGTGGGCAGATCTGTCATTTTGACGGATTCAGGTGACCGCTTGCTCTTTTTCCACGTAATGACATAAAAAAATCTATCGATAATCTTGTCCAGTAAATCCTAATTTAAAACAAGCAGAAGACATGAAAGGAATCCATTAGTCTACTATTATTCTTATAAATTATAATCTTAAAACTGGTCGTAACTTAGAAACGTATATAAAAAGTGATTGGAGATCGAATTATCTATCCATTTTTCCATTCGTATATTTCTCTACTTATTTAGAACGAGCTGTTGCCCGCGAATTCGTCCGCGTGGTATTAGAAAACATACGAACTATATAAATTACAAAAAGCTACGTATCCCTCGGGAACCGGACACCTCGGGGATGAAGCTTATCTCATGTGTACTCCAGACTTTGTTTTATATCTGTGCCAAATTTCAATAAGATATGTTGAACCGTTGCAGAATGATCGAGTGAATATTAAAAAACTAAATTAATGAATCCCACGGGAACCGTAACTATTACCGGGATAAAAAGTAGCCTATGTGTTCTTCCAGACTATGGTCTAAACCTGTGCAAAATTTCATGAAGATCCGTTCAGCCGTTTAGGCTACAAACGCTAACAAACATCCATCCATCCATCTAAACTTTCGCATTTATAATATTAGTAAGAAGTAAAATAGTAGAAGTAAGATTACTCTATATAATATCTATATCTAATAGTTAACATCAACTGTAGAACTTTTTGCTGGATTCCACTAAAAGAAGATAACCTATAAATATTCCTGCTCATTTTAGAACGCACACATTTGATTAAACTATCGCACAACATCTCGCTTTGATTCCTATGACCTTATATGGAGGTACACTACTCGATTAGTTCTGCAACCAAACAGTTGAGGCTGCAAACAATGAACAATCGCACGACAGTTATGCGATAGTTTAGTCAAAAGACTGTGGGCGCTTTATGACGTGTGTCTCACCAAGCATGAAATCTTCAGTAATCTCTCGTCCTATAAAAGGTACGCTGGGATACAATCGTAAGATTTCTTTGATTGTCGCCTCCAAATATTTCATCTCAGCCAGATCTGACCAGCTCGGAGTGCGATCTGAATTCCCGAATATCGCTTTGCATTCTTCGAAAATCCTTTCCTGCATAATGTTAATAAATAAATACCTTAAAAACATATTTAGAGAAATAGTGCAAAGCAGTACAATTGAAATACTAACCTGAACATCTTCGTGGTCAGCTAACAGCATTAGTCCGAAAGAAAGAGCCATAGCGGTCGTATCATGACCCTGTAGGGAAATTAATTTTGCGAATCATACTAATATTATAAATGCGAAAGTTTACATGGATGGATGTTTCTTAGAATTTGTAGCCTAAACTGCTGAACGGATTTCGATGAAATTTGGCATAGGTGTAGAGGATAGACTGGATACATAGGCTAGTCGTGGGCGAAAGGTAATTACTAATATTTCCTTTATTTTACTCATTGTTGGTACAACAGTTTACAGTCCTCTCGCAAATGTGTGACTGAAAACAATCCTTTCATATTACTCTTTAGCAATCTTATTTATTCATAAACCTTTCTTCGAGAGCGTCGGTGACTCAGGGGTTAAATCACTTGACTTGTAATCTATGTCCTGAATTCAAATCCCGCTACCAATGTGATTTTCAAATATCAAATGTATATAATTTACCCGAAGTTCTTACGGTGAAGGAAAACATCGTGATGCACATATCTGAGAAGAAATTCAGATATGTTTGAAGTCAACACGCAGTGCAGGTTGACTATGGCCTAGTTCACTAACTTAGGGTGGATTATTCCCAACCGTCACCCCGCTCCATCACCGTTCCACCTTTTGCGACGAGGGGACGGTTGGAAGTTATTTTGTTCCATAACGGTTCTATCTGTCACCTTATTGGTGACAGTCGGACTGAAAGGTAGGACGGATGAAACTTTTGATTCTCATCTATCCCCGGTTGGGGACACAGCGGGGTGACGGTTGGGAATATACCCTTAGGGTATATCCCGTACTACGTAGGGTCGCTTAATAAGTACTCTTTCATACATCTCTGTCAACCTTGTTCAAAAACTATTCAAGTTACCTCAAACATGAAAGTATTAACTTCTTCTCTTATCCCTTCAACATCAATTTCTCCATTACTCTCCGCTTCTATAAGTAAATCTAACAATGCCAGTCTTCTTTTAGAATTATCTTTAGTTGTATCTTCTAAATTCTTAACTAAAGAACCTTCTTGATCTATTCTCTTCTTTCTTTCAGCTATTACGTTATCCGCAAACGAATGGGCCGTAACCAAGTTACGAGCGAATTGTTTGCCCAAAGAAGTTTGATAGAATAGAAGATCGGGATGCAGCCAGAACTTTGTCAATCTACTTATAACTTGAGTTCCCATATTTTTAATAGTATCTTTGTATTCCACGGCTGATGTTGAACTATCACAATCGAGTTGTGTCCCCATCGCTGTTTCTGCAAAAAACAAATCATGATTTAATTTGACCAATGACCAACCCGCATTAAGTCAGCTTTGTTGACTAGCCTAGTCATTAACTTAGGGACTGAGACACTTAGTGGTGACGTATTGTGAGCTGGTGATGATGATTACCTGTGGTACACATTAATACAATTGGATAAGGGCCTGTCCCACCAAATTATAAATTGTCTGATAACAATCCAACGTTTAAAACATGTGATGAAAACATCGGATTTTGTTCCCTTATATGAGAATGACGTGATTATTAGGCTATCTGAGCTATCAGCCAGTGGTGGGACAGGCCCTTTGTGATGTAAACATATTTCGTAAAGGTGATGTATTTGCGTTGCTAATAACGAAGACCATTTTTTTTGTGGTTGCACGTTTGTACCGAATGACCATAAAACGGGTCAGATTTTGACGAGGCTTTAGCAGGAAGGTAACTGATGTACGCGGGAATATGATTACTAACTAAATGTTTTTTTATATTTCTGGGATACAATATATTAGCGCGAAATTAAAATGTGCTTATAAATTTATCAAAACACGTCAACATGATCAAACGAAGTAAACATAAGTTTATTTTTATCTGACTTAAAAATCTTATAATAATAAATGCTAAGTAAATAACCAAAAAAAATCTCACACAAAAAAGGTCGCAAGGACATCACAACCGTTTCACACAGTTGTGCTAATAAGGAATAAATAATTGTATAGTTCTTATTTATACAAAAAAGTTATTAAATTCCTCTCAACGAATAAAACAACAGCCCAATGGGAAAAATACCCGATTTAATTATAATTCATCAGATAAAAGTCTTAATATTAAAAGAGATTATAGTAATGAGTACAGTTCACAATTTTTTTATTTGCAGATTATAACTAAGGTAACATTACAATCATCAGGTATAATCACTAAACTTTAAAAGCCTCGCCTACCCTAGGTTAGTGACTAGGCCATAGTCAACCTGCACTGCGTTCACTTCACACATATCTTTGAACTAGCTGTTCCCGTGCGGCTTCATCCGCATGAAATTACGAAAAAATTGTTAATGTATTGATAGCAAATGTCAAAATGACATGAGATGACAAACGTTGGCAATCTTGCTGCCTTGATGTTGGCAGCAACTTATGGTCTCTTTCCCACATTAGGGTTTTTATCCAAAATATATATACCCTAATTTTAATGGCGTGAAAATATATAGCCTAAAGCGTGACGTAAGTGTAGGGCTTTTTACTAAAAAAAGTAATTATTCAAAAATATGCTGTAATTGTTGACATCTTTGGCAACAAAGAAGTGTGTGTTTACGTTTGATTATAATAGTATAGAGCATAGATAGATAGAAGTATAGACAGTATAGATTTTTTCGCTAATATGTGCATCTCGATGTTTTCCATCACCGTAAGAATGTCAGATAAAAGTACTTTTAAATTGTAAAATCAAAAAACACATTGGTACGGTGAGATTCGAACCCAAGACATGTACATTACAAGTCACTAGTAATGTTATACTAACCGCAAATTGTGTAAAGTGTAAAATCTCCAATAACAGAAAGAACATCGACATTCCCTTCCGGCATATTCTTCAATTTGTGAACCAAATCTCGACTTTTTTCTTCAAAAACTTTGCTAAAATTCCTTAATATGTTAAAATGAAAGGTTGGTGTCAAAGTTTTACGACGTCGATGCCATTTACTACCTGAAATAAACATATTTTAACAATAAAAAGCATAAGTGAACATAAAAAATTATGGTAAATAAGCAAATCCCTTGAAATCACAAAAATAATTAACTAACTAGACAGCTCCAAAGTTCCTGATGGCTATGATGAAAAGAGGGGAGGATGTATAGAATATTGTAAATGCGAAAGTTTCTATGGATGAATGTTTGTTAAAGTTTGTAGCCTAAACTGCTGAATGGATGTCAATTAAATTTGTCCTTTGTGCGACCGTGTAAACAATAATAAGAATTTTATATCGCATCAAGCCATCAACTGTGCGAACTCCATTATTTTAATAATGAAACAATTTAATAATTCCTAAAAACAGAAAATAAAGACCTCACAATTTACTTAAATGATTGTTAAAAATAATTAAAACCCAAATGACATTGTAAAGACGGACAAAATTACGAATAGATTTAAGTTCCTATTATTGTTTCTAAATGAAAAATTAACATTGTTTTTGAAAATCACAAAAATAAAAATAAAGCATTTATTAAGTAGTAAATAACTTTTTATTATTATTACTTGCTTTCGCCCGCGACACCGTCCGTATTAAAAAAAAAAACAAAAGAAAGTAACCTATGTGTTCTTCCATACTATGCTCTTCCCATCCTTTCCTCTTAATAAAAGGGTGGAAAGGGAAAGGGACTTAAAATGAGGCCTCCGGCACCACACTCATCAGACAAAACGCGGAATTGCTCCTTCTCGCCTGTTTTCTGTGTGGTCGTGGTATTCGTGGTACTCGTGGTATTCGAGTCGGCCTTCAGTGCGAAGATGTTAAAGCGTGCTCTACCACTGTTATAAAATATTGTTGATTATTGAATCCACTCACCTGTGCTGATTAGAAGACCAGCTCCGAGCCATGGCTCCAAAAAGTCATACGGCCTGTTCTTTGTTATGTTTCTTGAGTGTGTCAAAATTATCTGTAAATTAGGCCAAATAATAGTTATTTTTAGAAAGCTATGATATCTAACAATTATAAAATCGAAATTGAAGTCAAATGCGAAATTATTCTAGACAAATTATTAATAAGATAGATTTGTATTTTGTATGTAACGATAAACTCAAAAACTATTGGACGCATTTTAATAATTCTTTGACCATTAGAAAGCTACATTGGCACTGAATAACATCATATAAATATTATAAATGCGAAAGTTACGATGGATGGATGGATTTTTAAAGTTTGTAGCCTAAACGGCTAAACGGATTTCGGTGAAATTTGGCATATAGTATAGTCTGGAAGAATACATAGGCTACTCAGTTTAGTTTGTTTTTTAATTCCACACGAATGGTGTCGCGGGCAAAAGTAGGCTATAATTATAATGAGAAAAAGTTCTTTTACTCTCGAACAAAGTTGCGGAAAACTTATGTAATATTTTGATCTATTTAGTGTACAAAAGAGCTCGTAAATTATTTCTGTAATTTTTAAAAATAATAATCTTACTAATAATATAAATGCGAAAGTTTAGATGGATAGATGTGTGTTAGAGTTTGTAGTCTAAACTGCTGAACTCTCGATGAAATTTGGCCTAGAAGTAGAGTATAGCCTGGAAGAACACATAGACTAATTACTTTTCTTTTTTAACTCCATGCTGATAGAGTCGCGGGCGATAGTTTAAATATAAATTAACTAACCTCAAAATCATCGACATTGTAAACGTGCAGAATGCGACGACTGAATATCTTTAGGACATATCTATAGCCGTACTTCTTGGGAAATTCTAGCATCGTAGAGAAGAGGTCATCTGGAAAACAGAACAGTTTAATATATACAATTAATACAATCGACAATGAAAAAATTTAAGATTTAGCTGTCAAAGGCTTTTCCAAGCACCCATCTATTTTTACAGATCATTCACCGGCCACCTTAGAGGTATTACTTACCATATGGTGTCCCTAATAATGAGAAGGCACATCCAACGATCGGCCATTTCTTCGGACCGGGAAGATGGTCTAACGGATTTTCCTCTTCAAAGAATAATTTCCATATCACAAATAATATCACAATCCCTCCAATTAACCAAAACATTTTTTAACATAACAACTTCTATTATAGTTATACGCAAATAAGTTGTCTGAAATGAATAAAATTTTAACACATTAGTTGCCACCGAAAGTGTTGAGCGCGCGCACTTAAAAACTATCGCACCATTATTTAGTCGCGCTTTGATTCCTATATGCGTGTATGGGGGTGCGCATACTACTCGATTTTTAGATATGCAACTAAACAGTTGGATTGCGAAACAATCGACAGTCACACAACAATTGTACAATAGTTTAGTCAGAGGTGTGCGCCTGCTTTTGAGTGATAGAATTCAATCGTGTAATCATACTTCATAATAATGTATCTATCTATCTATCTATTCAGCCATATGACGCCCACTGCTGGGCATAGGCCTCCCCCAACGATAGCCACGATGATCGGTCCTGTGCCTACCGCATCCAGGATACTCCCGCAACCTTGACCAGATCATCGGTCCATCTTGCGGGAGGCCTATCCACGCTGCGTCGGCCGCCATTCCAGGACTTTGCGGGTCCATCGGCCGTCTGTTCTGCGGGCGATATGGCCAGCCCATCGCCACTTGAGGTTTGCAATTCTTCGTAAAAAAATTTTTCGTTTGCAAATAATGTATACTAATTTATATCTACTACTACTATATAGATTATATAAGCTGGACTCAGAAAGTGACAAACGAGGAGGTTCTGCGACGAGTAAACCAAAAAAGGGAACTTTTGCAGACCACCAAGATGAGAAAAGTATCTCGGCACGTGGCCGACAGATATAATCTCCTCCAACTCATCTTGATGGGAAAAGTTGCCGGCAAAAGGAGTGTTGGTCCTCGAAAGAAATCGTGGTTACGCAACATCCGAGAGTGGACAGGAATTGCGAGTGCCGCCCAACTGTTTCGGCTCGCAAGAGATAAAGTTAAATTTGGAGAACTGACCGCCAACCTTCGCTAGTCGGACAAGCACTTTAAGAAGAAGAAGAATCTATATCTATACTGATATTGTAAAGAGGAAAGATTTGTATTTTTAGATTTTTGTTTGTATTGAAATAACTCAAAAACTACTGGGCCTATATAAAAAATTCTTTCACCGTTAAAAAGCTACGTTATTATTAAGAAACATAAACTATATTTTTTACGTACTGTTGCCCGCAACTTCGTCCGCGTAGTATTAGAAAACATATGAACAATATAAATTACAAAAAGCTACGTATCCCTCGGGAACCGAACATTTCTCTTGGATGAAGCTTATCTCACGTGTACTCCAGACATTGTTTTATATCTGTGCCAAATTTCAATAAGATATGTTGAACCGTTGCAGAATGATCGAGTGAACATTAAAAATTAAATTAATGAATCCCACGGGAATAATAACTATTCCCGGGATAAAAAGTAGCCTATGTTTTCTTCCAGACTATGCTCTAAACCTGTGCCAAATTTCATGGAGATCCGTTCAGCCGTTTAGGCTACAAACGATAACAAACATCCATCCATCCATTCATCCATATAAACTTTCGCATTTATAATATTAGTAAGAGTAACATTCTTTTTTTAATTTGACACGTGCGAAATCGCGGGCAATAGCTTGCGTTGTTATAAAGGCAAATTATGAATGGATGGATGTTAGTATATAGTATATAGTTTATTTATTAGTATATAGTTATATACAAAACTGCTCAACGGATGCACAGATGTAAATAATAGTCTGGAAGATTACAAATTACTTGCTATTTTTTTTATTCCACGGTATTGCGGACAAACACTAGTAAACTAGAAACCTATTATTAAACACACAGATAGCGATTAGGTTTTATCTTGCCAAGTGAATTATCAAGTGACAATAATTGCAATAACAATGTATATTCAGAATAATACGTTATTGCAAATTTACAATATAAATAGAACTTCGTGTCAGGATCAAATTGTGATCTTTGACAGTATACAATATGACTAATGTATACAATGAACGAATTGTAAACTGGGTCATCATCTTATCCTTATCACACTGTAGTGGAACATCAGGTTAATCACAGTATTACTGCCAATAGATATTCCGTTAAAAGGTATCTACATAGATTTATGCACTCGCGGAGACAGCAAGGTTTGCCGTATTTTTTTTCTTGAATTCCAAACAAAATACGGACAAACATAGCTTCGCAAAAAATTAACGGATTACGTCACGGATTATCATCATTACATAGTTTATGAATTGGAACGTTAAAGTTTTTTTTAAATTAATTCAGCACAAACTACATTATCAGTAACAATAGAAGTTAAAAAATAATTTACCAAAATTTAATAACCTGCAAATTATTTAATTCGGCCACTTTTTTGTCACATTACGAAACATTCCTCTTTGGTAAAACTATTGACTAAAGAAAGCGACGCGTACAACGGACACACAACAGCCGGGTATTTAATATGGCACGTCGTCAGGAACACGACTGCTCTTCCCGATGTGCCAACTCAAACACCGGCTAAAAGATCCATTTAAACCCACAGATAATATAAATAAAATAATACAATCTTACTTCTTCTAATATTAAAAATGCGAAAGTTTAGATGGATGGATAGAAGTTTATTAGAGTTTGTAGCCTAAACGGTTGAACGGATCTCGATGAAATTTGGCATAGATGTAGAGTACAGTCTTGAAGAACACATATACTACTGAATTTTTTTTAAATTCAACACGGACGGAGTCACGGGCGAAAGCTAGTACTACGTAATATAACAGATAACGAAACACAAACAGCTGTTTTTAAACTCCATCATAAACGTAATTAAAATAAACAAAACTAACCTTGAAATAATCTAATAACTCGTTTGCACAATTTAATAACAAGTACACGTAAAAACTTTATTTATACGTATAATTTACGATTTATTTACACAAGCAACCAGCTACAATCAATTGTGAAGAATGACTGTGGAGCGAGATAAACAACGACTATATACAGAGAACACATGCATATATATATATGTTTGTATCGCGTCCTCGTTGACATCGAACTACAAACCTGTAGAAAAATGAACTCTATAGACGAGCCGTTTTACCATCCTGAAGGATAACCTCCAAAAGCAAATCCTAGTTCCTTGGACTCTCTAAGATGCACATTCGACTGCAAAAATCACACATTATAAAACTTTAATACAGTTTTGGACTTTAAAACGTCTAATAATTGTATAAACAAATAATTTTACTAATATAAATTCAAAAGTTTGTAGCTTTGTTGTAGCTTTTGTTAAGAGTTTGTAGCCTAAACGGCTAAATGGATCAGGGTAAAAGGTATAGCTGTAAAGCACAGTTTGGAAGAAAAAATACTACTTGTGTCTTTTTAATATGACGCGGAAGGAGTCGCGTGCGAAAGCTAGTACTATTATAAATGCGAATGTTTAGATGGATAGATGTTACAAAGTATCAACGAAACACTAAGCTACTAAATTTTATTTTTAATTCCGCGCGGACAACCTCACGAGCAAACGCTAGTATGTTATATAAATAAGTACCTACGCTATAAAGTTTAAATTGCAAACAAACTATGGTCACATCGCTAGTTTGTTATAATTAGTTATGGTTATTATTAAAAGCGTGAACCTAAATCGTCGACTAAACCAGTTTCTACAAAAAAGGTACCGATGACTAACCGCTGATGTAAAACTGAGCAACTCTTGCGCCAAAATCCAATATTATTGCAACTCAACGACGATTCATACGATTATATTATAACTACTGCTCTCTGGTTATAAGTATTCTATTTCTTTAACACGTTTACTGCTGCGAGTAAAATCATAATTCTTCATTAAACTGGCGGCGGGCCAAAATGCGCCCCCAATGATATTTCCGCTACGTGGCAGGTCTTTCTAAACCTACCAGCACAAGATAGATTAAATTGCTATAACTTTGTGGAAACATAATGTATACATTTTATGTTTTGTTGAATACACCTGAGATAATCTTTTCGCACTAGCGAGAGGGACATAGTCTTCTTCGTCCGCATCAGGTTAAGTTCAGTGTCGGGCCGATATAGGCCTGTTACGCAGTGAGCGTGTTAATAGCAATCCGTCATAGTTTAAACCTTATTTTTTTTTAAAGTGGCAAAAGAGGGCACGGTAACCTGAATCCATCGAAATAGCGAAACGACCGCTGCCCACATCTACAATTGTAGATGCGTTGCCTAACAATTGACGGAGCAGGAGACGCACATAAAGTGGATATTTCCCCTTTCTATATGTCTACACCGTCAAATCCATTTTGCTCTTTCTATCCTTTCGTTAAACGTAAAAGGTGGAAAAGGAAAGACGATTAAAGGCCCTCGGGACGTAGTGTATAAAGTCCATACATACATCTTGTAGGGTATTCACGTAAATGTTCCTGTCCTTGTGACTATGCTCTTGGGAAACTTTTAAGTTTGCGCAAAATTTGATTTTAACCTTAATTTTTCTGAATTAAAAAAATTCTCACACTCATAATTTTCTTAAATCTTGATAATCTGTTTTTTGCTTAAGATAATTGAAATAATGACAAGTTTGAGAAACAAAAGGGTAAAATATATTACAATGTGTTTTATCTAGTAAAATCTATACTTATTTCACTATTATAATTATTATAATTCACAATGGGAAAAATTACGTGTTGATTTATATGAAAAAATATGTGAAATAACATTTTTTTAATATTACATTTGCGTTAAAAACGAACCAGGAAAATTACCAAGAAAAATATCCTGAGTCATTTTTATAATAATCGTTGCCGGTGTTAGAGGTGAAGGTACAAAGTCTAAAGTTTACGATCTGTCTCTAACGGGATCAAAGTCTAAACAGCTAGATGTAGATTTTTTTGTGACTGAATGGCCACTGTTTGCCTTGAAGGGGCATTTACAGATACACCGGGCTTGAGGTGGCCGAGCGCAGATGGCTTAGCGTAATCCTCGTTTATGTCTAACTAAGCTCGAGGGCACCCTCAGGAGCCTCGGCACGAGCCGTTACTTCGTTATATAGCCCAGCTATCTCAGTCGATAGAGCATGAGACTCTTAATCTAATTTGTAGCCATAGCTTCATAACTTTTATAGACATCTACCCCATTCCAAGCAAAAAAATAAGACGATCCTTCCTCAGGAGATCTTAACACAAAGAGATTCAAAAAATATATAGAAGAGGCATAGTTGATACTTCATTTGAAACATTTTTCACATAATCTAATTATTCAAACACTGAGAAGTGTCAAATTCGAGTGAGTATCAAATTCGACATTATTACCGTACAAAGAAATTACCGGTCAAAAAAAATTGTTTCCTATGTCTAGTCTATTTTATAAATGTCTTTGTCTTACAATGAGAGGCGCTAGTGTGCTATTATAATTTAGTTTCTAATATGCCCACCGAACAAAAAATCTTTTCGGTCTATAAATTTAAAATTTTTATGAATAACTCCATATAAAGGTTATATAAAGATCTAACCTAAGCAGCGATTTACTAAATAACACTTAATAGATGGTTAAAAATATTAGGCACATGGGTAATCATTTTAGCTGCGTAGAGAAGAACGTGCTTTAAAACATCGATTAAAGTGATTGAATCGATATAGACTAAATACAGACTTTAAAACATGAGATTGAAATTCAAAATCCAGTATGAAAAATCGACGTTTAGCGAAAAGTTATCAATATTTCTACAAAAAATTAAATGTGAATAAATATAGTAAACCTCTTTATTGTTTAAATCCATATTTCCAAGAAACCATTAAAAGTAACATATTAAACATCAGGAGAGGCGTAGGAAAGGCCAATGTTTCTCAGTTCACAATCTTCTTGCAGAAAATCTTTCACTAAGAGTTTCTTTAGAGCAGCGCGACGAACCTATAATAAAAAATTATAATTTAATATGATATGAGATTAATTATCTTGAATAAATCACGTCAACAGAAATGCCTACTTGTTTTTTTTACTGGATCCTTACCGCTAAAGTTTGCATTTTAGCCTGACGCAACTCCTCGCGGATGAACATCATTTCTGGTCGTAAATGGTGATGCGCCAGAGGATCCATTTGTATTGAGAGACGGGGATCAATGGACGCCAATTGTTGGTCGCTGTTAAAAAAATTACTCATTTAAATTATAGTTTACATCGTGAAAATGGTCAAATATGTACATACACACGACTAGAAAAAAAATAAAACTAACAAATGGGCACCAACATCCGCTTCTAAAATTCCCGCCTCTTCTAATGCCTCAGCCTCCACCTCCTCCTCTTCCTCCTCCGCCGGTTTTTCCTTTTCGTTGGACATTTTTTTTCAAATATTCAAACTAGCGTATTAAAAAGCTTTTTAGGCTTGTAAAATCTTATAATGTTTGCTTTTGTTAACTTTCAAAGTTTAATATTTTTTTGATTGTAATTCTGTTGTCTTTTGTTTTGCGCCAGTTGCAGAAAAAAAGATAAGAACGAACGATTTATACTGCGATTTTTACAAGTTAATATAATGTACAAACATTACATTTTAATATTTCCTCTTTATAATATTAGTTTAGATTTTGTTGTTCAAAAGTTTACCACAATTTGACATTTACATGATTTAGCACTCTGTTGTGTCACGTGTAAGTGAGATCTGTTTTATTTTATCTGTGGTTAAAAAAGGGTGAGTGAACTGCCTCATTGTTATTTATTGCATTTGCCTCTAATAATACATTAATTAGCCGATTTACTGGTACAGTGAGTGCAATAACATACATAACAGGCCGTGACAGCCATGCCGATGTGAGTAATATCAGAGGTGTGGCGCGTCTCAGTGGGGCGTCGTTTGGTAGTGCAAGTGACATTAGATATACGAAAAAATAATTTTACTATCTCGTTATAAGATGACGGAGTACAAGTTAGTGGTGGTAGGGGCCGGTGGCGTGGGTAAATCTGCATTGACTATACAATTGATACAAAACCATTTCGTTGACGAATACGATCCTACAATCGAGGATTCATATAGGAAGCAAGTGGTAATAGATGGGGAGACATGTCTCCTTGACATCTTGGACACAGCTGGTCAAGAGGAATACTCCGCGATGAGAGACCAATATATGAGGACGGGAGAAGGTTTCCTGCTGGTGTTTGCAGTGAACAGTGCTAAGAGTTTCGAGGACATTGGCTCGTACAGGGAGCAGATCAAGCGAGTTAAGGACGCGGAAGAGGTGCCGATGGTGCTAGTGGGCAACAAGTGTGACCTGCAGGCGTGGGCGGTGGATATGACACAGGCGCGAGAGGTAAGTTGTTTACCAACATCCCTTATCACAGCTGTTGCTTTAAACATCATTACTATAAATAACTGTTCTTTGTTTGTACTGACATTGATGTTTTTACAAATGAAACCTAAATATAATCTATTTATTAAAATCTTTTGATTTATTTTCTTAAACTTTTACTTCAGATAAGACAATTTAATAATTTGATAAAAAGTTTACAATATAAAATTGTAAAATGTTACAATTTTACAATATAACAAAAATTCTACACATACATATTTTTATCCATATTAAGTGAATTGTCACTTTATTGTTCACATTTATTTGTCTCCCTTTTAATATAAACATTGATTTAAACATTTTATTGTAAAACCAAATTCAATATATTACTTGAGGAAGAATAAATTTTATTAAATTTTTATTTAAATTTTATTGTAGGTAAGATTTGGGCTTAAAATTTCTATTGATTACCTTTGTAGCTACACACAAAATTTTGATACTAGCCTACTGTGTAGAGAAATGTCATGTTGGTATAAGTTTTTCTTGTAAACAGCCAATCTTAAACATAAACATGTCCAGCTGTTCACCAAATGTATAAAGTTTACTGTTTGTTTATAAAGTAAACCACCCTGTCTACAATTCTGTTATACTAAGCTTGGCCTAATCACATCTAGCAGTGTCCCCTTCTCTGTCAATTAAAAGTAGACAGTTGTCTATGGGCAGGCAAGCTAATGGTGATTTCAACTTGTTACTTGGTTGATCACCTTTTCTTTAACAAACTCGACAAAATCTAAATACCATAATCATACTTACCCATAAATTCATGTTGATGCATTTATGGGTTAAGTAAATATATCAGTCTTTTCTTCCTAAACTTAACTATTTAGAATTTTTTTTTCTTTATTTTCTCTTAGTCTTTGTGCAATTTACTGCCCATTCGAATTTATGTTATTTAAAAAGAAGAAAACATGCATTTAAGGTATCGCAAATATTCATAGCTAAAATGCTGGTAGAAAATAAATGCTACACCCTGGGAGAGATTTTATGGGGTCTTTGGTCACTTGAGGTTCGGAATCGAGAGGGTTTTAGTGAGTCATATCTTATACAACCTTGTTGTCCTCCTAAAAGACTATATCTTTAAAAGGTTTTCACCAACACCAAATAAGGGGGGTTAAGAGTGTTATGTGAGCTATATGCATACCTGTCGACCAACTGTAGTCTCTGAGCGGTCGCTTAATCGCAGTGTACATTAAAACTGGCTTGAAATACAACTTCGAGGGTAGTGACTTTGAGTAATTTATTTATAAACATCCTAGTTTTATTTTTATGCAACAATATTATGACACAATGAAGTTATGAATAATCGCTTTGTGTGTCATTGTTATGTAAAAACATATGACATATTTACATTACTCATTACTCTGCATATTCAGCTATGTTGACTTTATACTTGAGATAGATTTAATTAATTTTAATTGTACATAAAAGAAATTCAAACTTACAAAACATACTTTCGCCCGCTACTTCGTCCACACAATATTAAAATTAAAAGTAGCCTATAGTATGTCCGTCTATGTCAGCAACTCTTCAGTGAAAGTCCAGACAAATCTGTCCAACCGTTTCGGAGATTACTTGGAACAGATATGGTTTGTGGACAGATAGACAAAAAAAAAATTAAATGCGATTCTCGTTATCAGCAATGCAAAAACATCACCTTCCCAAAATCTTGAATTTTACTTTTGATATTACAATCGGACACTCCAATTTTATTATATGTATAGAAGATAAAGATTATAATAGCTTTCGCCCGCGACTCTGTCCACATACAATTAAAAAAAAAAAGTAGGAAGCCTATGTGTTCTTCCAGACTGTCCTCTATATCTATGCCAAATCTCATCAAGATCCGTTCAGCAGTTTAGGCAGCAAACTCTAACATCCATCCATCTAACTTACGTTTTTATAATATTAGTATGATTGATCCAAACATAGAACTTGCTGTAGTTGGTATATCGGACAAGACATCATTTTTGAGGAACTTATTTTGATAGAAGAGATGTGTTTGCTAACAAGAAATTAGTCCATGCTACTATATTAAAAAGTGAATCATAATGTTTTCAGGTAGCGCGAAGTTACGGTGTCCCATTCGTGGAGACATCAGCCAAGACACGTATGGGGGTAGATGATGCTTTCTACACGCTAGTCCGGGAAATCCGCAAAGACAAGGAGAGCCGGGGCAAAAAGTATAGGAGAGGTAACAAGGGGGGTTCACGGCGCCCCATCAAATGTGAATTGTTGTAAATTTTACATTTTAATTCTAATTCTCTTTCAAGTTCCACAGTTTATCGTAAGATCACTGCTGTTAAGTTGCGAACTTTTTTCTAAGAGGTTATACCATTCGAATATGACGTTTTACGATTGCATTATAGCTTACAGATAGTCTATAGATAGTTAATGCAAAGCACAAAAGTCAGTCAAAAATTCCTCCCGAGTCCTTTTGGGCTGGATTTTGAACTGCAGTAACAATACTACGGGCCTGTCCCACCAAATTGTAAATTGTCTGATAATCTGATGAAATATGTGATGGAAGTATCGGATTTCGGTACACCAACAGTCACTTTTAAGCTAACAGAGCCGCTATCAGCCAGTGGTGAGACAGGCCTTTAATTTTAAACAAACTTTAAAATTATATGTAACTATCTATAGATTATATATGTTATCCATATTATAGCAATTCTCGATACCAGTTGTGAAATATTTTTAATGAAGTAGGATAAAATTGTACTTTCTCTTTGTGTTTGTACACTAAAGTTTATGCAATATCCAGTGAGAATTGTATCTGTTAAATACATAAGAGTAAAGATTACATATGTATAGTTTTCACAAACAATCAAAGCATTTCGATTGTCGATATTTTATGACGAAACGATGAAATATTAAATGACACTTATGTCTTAAAAAGTAAAATATTGTCTCTGGTTTAGTAGAGCAATTGGCAAGCTCACATAATCCAAATTTTTCTTGTACATAAAATGTTATCAATGTTATGGAATATTTTTAAAGCATGGTATGGAATATTTACATTACATAAGAGTGGCCGCACACCAAAGACAAAACTATCACACAACCGTTGTGCGATTGTTCGCAATACAACTGATTAGTTGCACAGCTATAGAGTAGTGTACTTCCATATAAGCTCATAGGAATCGAAGCGAAATTAAACTATTGTGTGATAGTTTTGTCAAGGGTGTACACACACACTTTAGTCTTGGGCTTAATCGGACATCTGCAAGTGCGCACCGTACTAGTACAATTGGGAAAACGTACTAGTACACACTTTTAGTACCTTTAGTACTTCAGATTTGTGAAAACACAATAACATGAATAGAATATAACGAGGGTTGTATATTACTTCACATCAAATTTTAAGCAAGGTCAAACATATGTTATTACCGAAAATAAATTTAGTTATGAATAATTTTATCCACTTTTGATTCTCATTATCGAAGGTGGATGCTTCAATCTGACAAAAAGGCGAAAGGCGTGTAGCGTACTAAAAGTACTAAATGTCCGATTAGCAGAAGCCGTTCGGTAACGTTACTTTTAGTACAGTGCCGAGTAACATTACTTTTTAGTACATCGTACGTGTACTACCCAAGACTAACACACTCTAAAGCTAACAATTACTTGCACGGAAAAAGATATGTTAAGATAACAATATGTTAGCTAATTTGATTACTTGAAACTGTTAGCCATATTGAAATAGCTTATATACTGAGAAATATACCATGGTATCCAATTTTATATGTCACAGTCAGACTATAAACTATGACAGTATAAAATCCTACTAGAAAGATGAAAAATGTCAAATTATTTGTGAATCAAACAAATAAAAGATAGATTGCATTTGATGTTTCATCAAATTAGCCGACAGTATGAATGAAAAATTGACTATTTACAATCTATCTGTGACATGCTTGTATTTTTAATAATTGCAAGTATACAGTAGTATTATTCGGTTTTGGCTTATTTTTGTACATTTTATTACATTTATGATCATTTACAAAATTATATTAATTGCCTTTGGAATGCACAAATGCTTTTATAACTGCCGAAGTATTTTTTACTATTATCTTAATGTTTAAAACTATTTTTTTGTCTTTTTAAATCATTGCTACAGATAAAATAATTAAAAATATTTGCATAGTTAGGGATAAAATAATGTTAGAAATATATTTGTCAAAGATCTATGAGAATTAGTTGAATTACTATGTTAATAGAGAAATCTTAATCTACAGGATGATTAAATTCTTTCTAAGTCTGACACTCATACATTTTATAGCTTATATAAATTAAATAGAGTTGTCACGTTAAAGAATGTCTTATTAAAATTTAAATTCGATTACCGATTCAGATTTAGGCTGTCTAAAAAATATATGCACAAAATATGTTTATGAATAAATTTTCTATGTAACTGGAAACTAAATTGTATTAACATAATTATACTGTCAACTTTTACAATCATGTCTACAACTGTCATGACAGTAATAGTGTTGAAAATAGAGCATCCTGTATGTTTGAGTATGTTTAAATTGTTGATGTAACGAATTTTATAGATTCTTATCAATTATAAAGGTGGCTAGCTTTTGTGGGCAGTGATTTCTATTTCTTATATAAAATTTAGTTTATAAGAGGACTTTGTTAAATGTTTTCTACATAGCTTGTAGGCGATACTGTTTGTACTGCCAATGCTGTTTGCAATTTATGAAAATTATCTCTATTCTTGTTGTGAATGGAATTGATTATTATAATTTTAATTAAAAGTTAATCTTTGTATTTAGTTAATGGATAAATTCCGGTCCGATGAACTCTGTGCTACAGGATGTTTGGAAATACTTTAACATACAGTCAGAAAAAATAATTTCACATAGCAAATGTAAAATAGATAAAAAATTACTACAGTTAGGACCTGTCCCACCTAATCGTAAATTTTCGATAACAATCCAACATTAAATATGAGATGGAAATATCTGATTTTTTCCTTATCTGACAGTGACGATATTTTTAAGCTATCTGAGCCTCTATCAGCCAGTAGTGGGACAGGCACTATTTGTCTTATATATGAATATAATCTGCAATTAGGAGTACTCACTTATGTTGTGGGATCCCTTAGTGATGAAATAACCGCATGTTTTAAATTAATTCTTGTACTATTTCACTTGTAATTGTATATTGCATTCTTTGCAAAAATGTACTGTAACATTTTGTTGAAAAATTAAAAATAAAAACTTCTTTATTGCCATCCAAAAATATACACAGAGAGAGAGAGAAAGAGAGAGAGAGAGAGAGAACAATAACATACATGAAAAATTGTAACAGATGGCAAAAGGGGAGGTTCAGCTTAACCCATAAGGTGATTATGCTCTATTTCGATATATTTGATTTACGATGAAAACGCACAGTTTAGTAAATTTTGCAAGTCTTAGGTTAATTTTAAGTATTTGGCATATTCAGTGTATAATTAGTTTTTTGGTGCTGTTATTGCAGAATTGTTTATTTTCAATTATTATCCGCCGAATATATTTTTAAGTACAAAAGTAAAGCCATAGTTTTATTAAGTTGCCAATAAAACAATGTTATTTATGAATGTCGGTAAATGATACTGTTAGAATCTTTACTTTTTATGTATAAAATCAATTTGATGGAAAAAAATCTTTTATTGAACTTTTTGCTGCAATATTTTTTTTATTTTTTTTTATTTTTATCATGGTCAATTATTTTTCCGCCAATTATAATGTCTTGCGATTTGTAACTAAGCTGCTAAAATTAGTATCTAATATAAGTATGTAATTACTAATTATTTTATTCTTCCAGAAGCGAATAAGGTTGTTTTGCCGAATATACTAATGTTCCTAGTTTTAATACTATATTGTGGAAATTAAAACATCCTCTAACTTCAGGGGGTAGTTAGAAAAATTCATTGAAAATCCTGTATGAAATAGAATGTGGGTATTTAAAGTTACGCTGTACAATGAAATGTTTAACGAATTTGGTTAAAATATACTTTAACAGTGGGCATAGCACGAAAAATTACAAGAACGCATTAAAATGTGATACTTTTGCATGTATCGGATACAGTACACCAACAAACCTCAAGCTTTGACAAAGTGATTATGCTTTTTCGAAAATTTTCGTGCTATACCCCCATTTAGGTTTTTAAGTTCAATAAAATCATAGTTATAAATATATATAAGTGAATTACAATTTCTTACAGTAGCTGCCATGGATTTTTTTTCATTTTGCCATCGTTTTTTTTTCATTTTGTAATTTTTTTTTTGTATTTTACGAAACAATTTTGTACTTGTACATTTAAAATTAAAATGCGTATCATAAAAATAAGATATTTTGTTGCTAATGCACAATTTTTTGGTAATAAGTTTAAAATAACGAATAATTCTGTAAAAATAGCGCAAGTGTGCGTGCTAAATGAATTTATTAAATTGGCATTACCTATGTTGTTTTATTAATCTATTTTCTCATTATGTGTTTTCAAAGCTTTAAATTTATTAAAAAAAATCAAATCCAGTGTAAGGAAATCACTGCTTTCTTACCCGAATATTTTTCCACTGTGTACACTGCACTACCTTCGTGTGAACCCTTCAGATGTTAGGATGTACCATCATACTAATATTATAAATACGATAGTTTAGATGGATGGATGGATGTTTGAGACTTTGTAGCCTAAACGACTGAACGGATTTCGATAAAATTTGGTATGGGTGTAGAGGATAGTCTGGAAAAACACATAGGCTACTCACTTTTGTTTTTTTTTAATTCCACGCGGACGGAGTCGCGGGCGAAAGCTAGTTATACTATAAAATTATTACCCAAAACCATCAATGTAATGTGAAACAAAATAAGGGTTCCCTAGACTATAAAAATCATACCAATATTATAAATGCGAAAGTTTGGATTGATGGATGTTTGTTAGAGTTTGTAGCCTAAACGACTGAACGGATTTCGATGAAATTTGGTATGGATGTAGAGGATAGTCTGGAAGAAGACATAGACTAATCACTTTTGTTTTTTTTTAATTCCACACGGACAGAGTCGCGGACAAAAGCTAGTTATACTATAAAATTATTACCCAAAACCATCAATGTAACGTGAAACAAAACAAGGGTTCCCTAGTCTATAAAAATCATACTAATATTATAAATGCGAAAGTTTGGATTGATGGATGTTTGTTAGAGTTTGTAGCCTAAACGACTAAAAGGATTTGAATGAAATTTGGTATAGATGTAGAGGATAGTCAAGAAGAACACATAATACTACTCACTTTAATTTTTTTTTTAATTCCACGCGGGCGAAAGCTTGTGTAAAATAAATATAAACCTACTGCAAATGAAAACAGTACCTGTACATAGGGGAGGATCCTAGACCTAGCCTAGATAGTGGTTCGAATGAAAGACAAAATTATATGAAAAATTCGATATACCTTTAGCTTTTTTCCTTTCATACAAGCTACAATATGCTCTTTGCAAGCTACAATATGTATTTCAGACATTACCTATTGCTATTTTTTACAAATATACGCAGTAAATTTTTGTAGACTATCGCAAAGTCCATCACAAAGGATAATTATTAGGCATGTGATTATTCGAATTGATACAATATTTGTAATAAGCATGACAACATAAAGTAATTGCCAACATAAGCTTGTTATCGTATTGCTGATTATAATAAACAAACTAATATTGATTTGATAAGACAGAAAGCAACAGTAAGTTCATTATGTCCCAAAACGTTGAACAGTGGTAGAGCACGCTCTAACATTCGCACGAATGGGCCGGCTCGCCCCCTGCAATACCACTATCACACAGAAGAGAGGCGTGAAGTGAAAGCAACCGCGTTTCGTCTGATAAGTGTGGTTACGGAGGCCCAATTTCAGTCCCTTTCCCATTCCACACTTTGCCTATAAGGAAAGGATTGGATGGGAAAGTTAATTTGACGATGGAGGAGACGCTTAGAAAGGGGAAAATATGCTCTTTATATGCGTCTCCTCCTCCGTCGATTAAAGTAGGCAACGCGTCTATATTTGCGGATATCTATAGGCAGCGGTCACTTCGCTATTTAGGCGGTTGCTTGCTCGTTTGCCACCTTATTATATATAAAAAAAACACTTTGTTATGTGTTTCGTTTGTCCCCTTCCTCTTATAAAAAATTAAAATGTCTGCAATCGCAACATGCTTTTTGAGTAGCCATGTACTTAGCAAAAAATTATTACACCACTTTTCCTTCGATTAAATTCAAATATAAAAATCTAATTCCCTTTGCCCAAATATAGAAAAAGTCA